CTCTCACAGAGACCTACTTACATTGTACATGTACATGTACAGTGGTAGGAATTGTGATCTCACAAAACCACTGTCACTTTCCACTAAAGCCTGTCCATGGGAATTTTGCTGGGCAGATTTATTTAATAAATGCGAACTACACAACATTAAGGAACTCCTTATGTTCCTGAGTTCTGACATCAATTTTCCTGAAATAAGAAAGTTTTGGAGGTATAAAATAATTGAATACTGAATGACAATTTAAACTTTGTGCAGGAATGAATCTGTGTTGTGTTGACCAGCTGGTCTGGTATCTAACCCCACATACTCATGACAAAAGTTATCACTGGCCGAAGTCACCAGTAGGTTACTGTGCCTACAATGCAAGGCTGATATTTCAAAAGACAGAATCGACTAAGGCTGTGAACAGCACCTGTGGCGATGTCTAAACTCTACGGCCTTAAATTCTTGCCCAGAGAGAGAAAAATTTCTTTGTATACAAACCTCATATGCCCACGTGCAGTCAATCTCGGCAAACTTCTTGATGCACCGCCCTACTTCCACATCCTCATGCGTGCTCCACATGTTCTTCAGACAGTGGCTGATGTGGGGCACCACCTTCCGCAGCGTCTCCCGGCTGAAGATCATGCCCGGCCCACCCATGCAGAAGTTGTCGCCAGTGTCCAGGTTGAGCAGGCCCAGCTCCTCCTGCTTGCCCAGCCCGGCCTGGCCGATGAACAGCCGCTGGGTACTGTTGATGGAGCGCAAGAATGGCTCCAGCTTGTCGCCACGCACGTACACGTCGTCATCGGCTCGCATGAACCATTCGTACTTGTCAATGAAATTGTCATGCATGTACTTGATCATCAAGAAGGACTTCTTCTGCGGTGGGTAGGAGTCGTCTACCCCCTGCAGCCTGACAACAGGCAGGTTCATCCTCGGGTCAACCACTGAGGTCGCACTGGAATAAAAATCTACTTTGCCCGGGATTGTCCGAGCCCAAGTCCGGTTGACGGCAACGGCCCGGGTGCTGAGATATTTCTGGGCCGTCAAGACTCCGATATAAATAAAATTCTTTGGTGGTGACGGCGGCACAGTTGTGTCCTGTGAAGCCGCCCTTGGGTTTACAGCTGCATTGCATCTCTTATCAATGGCAAACATTTGCCTGGAGTCCAGGGGAGCACGGAGCCATGTTGCAAACAGAAATCCGAGAGACAAACTTGCTATAACGATGCACAATTCTCGTCTGTCTATGCGTCTCAGTGTACGCCGTACAGTCATGACTGACTACTGCACCCTACACCAATAACACCGTCGGCCCCTCTCTCAAAGTTATTGCCAGCTGCTACTTGGGCAAGAAACTACATGGGTGCTCTAATGTCCGCTTCGTCAGCTGAAACTACCGCTTGTCATGTTCATGCTGAAAACAATCAGATCACGATTAATTTACAACTTTATCATGTTTGTCGTGTCTAGTAACCAGTTCCCCAATCAGATTTGACAGTAGGCCTAGGTGGCAAAATTAGGGACCAGGTGACAATAACATCACAGGCATTATTGGTCCCTTTGGTCGGTGTCAGGTCAACTCGACCGTTTGCCAACTCGACTCTCGACCAACTCGACCATTGATCAACTTGACCGTTGTTCCTTCAACCGTAAAGGTCAACTCAACTCTCGACCAACTTGACTTTCGACCAACTTGACTATCGACCAACTGGACCGTGCAAACGGTGCAACAAGAACAGGGCATAGTAGGAATGCATTTTTCCTAGTTCTGGATCGTGCATGTAATTCGTTTTACTGTGCATGATGTAATCTGTGCATGCGCAGAGTGTGGTAACAGATTTTGGGGGTTCGTGCGTGCATGCTTCTAAAATTGGAAAAATTATTTTGGAGTATCTCATTGGCACAAGTTCAATTATTGATTGCATTTCAGTTGATTTCGTGGGTTCATTGAGCCAAAATTAGCATCCATAATTTTCACGATCCGGAACCGATCCAATATTTAATTTTCCCCTTTTAATATCTATTTTTCAAGGAAAGAGTTTGTCTAATAACGGTCTAGTTGATAAATGGTCGAGTTGACTCGACTTTGAAGTCGAGTGTTGGTCAACGGACAAGTTGGTTCAACGGTAAGTCTGTCGACGGTCGGGTTGGTCAGGAGTCGAGTTGTCTCGAGTTGAGTGGGCAAACGGTTGAGTTGACCTTCAACCCTTTGGTCAGCCATTACTTACCATGTTTTTTTAACTGGGAAGACTGCAACAACTTGACTTCGTTGGCTGTGTACCAAGTTTACCGAGAGTTAGGTGCATTTCAAAGACACTTCAAAGAAAATTTGCAGGATTTTTCAATTCCAGAGTCGCGTCATTTCCAAATTTTAGCAAAAACTTTTCATTCATTCATTAATTTATTTTCCACAGTGTTTACAAATAAATACATGTACATAATATCTACAAAAATGGTTCGACAAGAGAGTGAAGACTAGGGGGGCCCAAAAGAAGCTAAGCTTGTGAATATGGGTCCCTTGTACATACATATACTTTCCTTCATTAATGGAAAGAATTCCATACACAAACACCACTATTTTTTTCCGTGCACTGCAGTGACCTATAATAGCAAAAAATTGCTCTAGAAAAAGGTCAAATTTAGCAGTGAAAAAATGAGTTCTCTTACGCTCAGACATAAACACAGAATTTTTCAGACGAGTTTCACAGGGACTGTCCACGTGCACAGGGTGTCAAATAGCGTCCGTGTATGGAATTCTTTCCAAGAAAATACCTGTGTTAAAAGGCTGTAGCCTGGGCCTAAATGTTTGAGGAGAAAAGTGGTGACAATTGACAGGATGCAACCTTTTTTTCCCTTCAAGAACTGATGAAGTACAAGTGAAGTAGGACTGCTAAAAATAGCCCGAGCATGTAAGCACACAGTCGTGCGCGAAGTTGCCGTGAACACCCGCTGAACAGGCAAGAACACGCAAGCAATGCGCTGCTAACAACACGCGTGACTGATCCGTTACATGTAACGTTAGGTCAAGTTACGTCCCCAGTACTAGTGGTGCCAGCCTGTAGAGTGTAGCAGAATCTCGCCAGTTTCTCCCAACTTTCTATCATGGAAGTGGTCACTCTCCATTCAAAAAGCCAGTCAATTCCCCTCCATTCCACCCAATAGGGTACTAATTTCTACTTACTTGCTGTGTTCTTAAAGGAACGGTCATTTTGGCACTTTATCTGCTTCGACACTCGTCTTAACTTCCCGCTGTGCTCCAGCAGACACGTCTACTACCAACGAGCAGGCAAGTGCGTCCGCGGATATTAAACAGGGCAACTTGACAAGAAAGTTTATTTCATCTGGTAACGAGACTAATATCATATTAAAGTGTACTAGGTTGAGAGGTGACCTGACTAAATATTTTAACGCGTGGCGATATTATTGGTAAGGTGTCTACCGCCCTCTAACCTTAACTGAATTCCAGAAAGAAAAGTTCATGGCTTGTTGACGTCATGACCGCTCCATTATGATGACTGATGACGAACAATCTGCATAGGTCCGTGTAGCCCAAATTCAATGACACAGTTTGTCTTAAATGTTGTAACTAATGCCAAAAGATGCAACATCATTTCGAAACAGGCATTTCCTCCCCTTTAATCCTCAAAGGAAGCATAGCAGACTGATTTGGGCGGAGTACCCTTACATCGCGTTGTTTTCTGACCATTGCGTCGGTCTCAGACATTTAACATTGGTAGGGCTGGGGATGCGTGAATGGTGGAGGACACACCCGCGATATCATTCCTTGGCCAGCGTCCAATGTTTTCAGTCTACATTTGTCGCTGTTTCTACCAACAAACATAAAAGACAACGCCAAAATAAACAGTTGCCCCAATTTTGGACCCAAAACAGACCGAAATAAATCGAGCCCCCCCCCATATCTAAAACTTCTGAAATCAAGACGGCTTCTTTCGCCAAAATCATCACTTTTAAAATTATGAAAATGGCAAATTGAATGTTTCATCTGTAAACAAACGAATGATTCCTATTGCTGCACGACTAAATGTGTCTGTGTACTGCTGCTTATGAGCAGATGTACTTTTTGCGCTGGACTTTTATAGGCGGCATCGCTACTCGTTAAATCAGTTTCATATGTCTGGACTGCAAAGCAAGTCCAGAGAGGTGAATCAGCGTCATTTCTGTCTGGCGATAAAAACCACGGTTTCTTAAAAATGCCGCTGACATTGGAGAACTCGCAATAAGCGGGTTTGAGAAAGTCCGTGGAAAAACGGAGAAGATGCCTCATGCTGGATTTTAGAAATGTTAGAAAAATCACTGATAAACATCCAGCAGTGAGATTGTCCAATGATAAAAAATAGCTGAAAATAGCTGAAAATTAAAGAAGCTGAACTGTGAAAATCTTATACCGGTATAACAAAGCTGAAATCTAAAACAAAAAAGCTGAAATCAGCTAAAAAGCTGAGAAATCTCACCCCTCAACATCCCTCGGGTGGTAAGCCAAAGGAAGAGAGAAAAAGGAAGGTGGAAACGGAAAATTCAACTGCATGAACGTCAGGCTGGTTTTGAGTTCATTTTGAACTGCCGTCAGAGTGCATAATTGATGGCAAAGAATTATCGTTCTGCTTAGTCTTGCGCCGGGTCTGAAATGCGCAGTTTTAGAGCTTGATGGTAAGGTAACGGTACTATTTCAGGAGAGTTAGGCCGACAAAAGTTCCCGATGTAACAACTCTAAAAACCTGCACAGAACTTGGTTAATTCTATTTAATTTGTCATATTTGCAGAAAGGCTGATACAATCATACAAATTTCAAAAATATACACAAAAAGGTAACTGAATCCTTTTCGACCCTGAACTTCGCTCAGCATTAAATTTGGCGCGATGAGGTAGATTCGGATTGAAAATCCTGTCTCAGAAAGTAGTAAAATGTTGACTTTCCTCGAGAAAGGCGCAAGTGCACGTAAACGCAAGGACCCCCCCCCCCTTTCGGTCGCGCCAAGTACATGACATAGTACGTATGGCCTGCTTCGGTCATCGGCTCGCATGAATTCGGACTTTGAATGCCTTCAGTGACAGACCTACGCATGTTTTTCCATCGGTGAACGGCAAGAGCTCATAGCTTGACTTTTCTTAGTAACTGTTTTTCTGTTTTGTTTTTGTTTTTTAACTTCGAGTGCGTTTACCCTCCACTGTCGTCATTCAGTCGGTTGGCATTATCTTGTGATAACGTGTGTCTGGAAGTGAGGCAAGTAGAAAATCGGGGTCATTTGATAGGGGAAGAGAAAAGGGCATTCTCAATACTTGAAGAAAATGTACACATTAAGTCATCAGATTTCCGTAAAATCAAAAGGGGGGGGGTTCCCAATACCATCCCTTAATGGTGGCGCTGTTGAAAGCCGACTCTCGGACACGGGTGAGGCTCTTCATGAAGTCTAGCAATTTCTGTCGTGTGCGACATTTAGACCAAGTAATATAATGGTAAACCTACTGTGTCAAAGGTGCGCCAGTGAAAAGGGGCACTTACGCGGGATGGGGGCACTCGAGTACTCGTGGAGAAAAAAGGGGACGCTTGTTAAAAAAAAACCCGGATGTAACAAGGGGAAAAATCGCATTTGTTACAAAATACTAGATTAAAAGGCGCTAACTCTCCTAAACCTCTACCATGCTACACAACTTGACTTGGAAAGATCCTTTGAACCACAAGTGTAAGTAGAGAGACGTTATATGCAGGACAATTTTCATTGTACTGATGCCCTAAATGTACGATTCCTGTAAACACTTATGACCCAGGAATGTCACGACCCCAAGTAAGACGAAAGATGGGAGAGGGAGAACAACATTTATGGCGTTCCATTTGTCAATGACTTACCTTTTAATTAAACATTTACTGAAATCCATGTTTTCTGTTTGAGTGACACCCAGCTTTTTTAAGTGATAACATGTTGTCAAAATGAATCATTCAACTATAAAATTCGATAACACTTGAATACTAGGTCTGTCTTTCTACATTTGATGCATGTTCAATTTCAACTTTAGATGGTCATGGAATAGGAAAACGTCCTTTCTTATTATGTGAGGCGAGGGGTCCAGGCTGTCTTGACGAAAATGAACTCTGCCAGAGCAGTGGATGCATGGTCTTAATAAGTTCACGTATAAATGCTGTAACTTGAAAGCATGAACACTAGTATACACAGCTCACATTCTTCTGTGAAAATCTGCAGTTAGAAATGTATAACAAGAAGTTATACAATTTACAGCAATCTTTTTGATATGATCAAGCGAGTTTCCAAAGCAACGTTTGGAGCCAGTGTTTACTGAAACAGAATTAGAAAAACGAGAATTTCCCTTCCACATAAAAACTCTAGAGCAATGCTTGGTAACATCAAGTACCACCAAATATAAAAATATCAGTGTTTGGTGAGAGAAAAAAATTCTTTAAATCAGTTGACCCTCGGCAGCTTGTGCCACCAACAATTTAAATATTAAGGAAAATAACTATTTCACAATTACTGATTTTGCGATCATTTGTTTGTACTGACCTCTCTTAAATGATAGCTAACTGTATTTTCCAGAAAAAATAATACAAACTGAACATACATGTTTTTTAAAAGTGGATAAAATGAAATTGCTTCCTGTACAATGTTCAGTATCTGTAGTGAGAAGGTGGTGGTCCCCACGTAGGTGGTGCGGGGCGCTTGTTGGGTCCTCTCCAAAAATGGGCTTCTTCCCTCCTCTGGCTTCCATAATCAGTTGGGTGCCTTTCCCTCTCCGGCCGGCCCTCTAGAGTGGAGATCGGTGCCCCTCTTGGTTGCAGGTCACCCGTCAGCGCACTGAGTTCCTTCTCAATCAGCTGCTTGGTGTTCCGGAAGTGGGACTGGTCGTACAGCCCGCTCGTGTCTGGTGGCCCCTCCTGGCCCCCGGGGGGGTTGAAGTGCTGCCTGTGGCCCGCACCAGGGCCCTGCTGCCCGCCACGATTGAGACCCTGAGAGAAGTCTGTTGGGGGTCCTTGGCTGTAATCCTGTCCACGGTCCGGGTTGTAGTTGTAGTCATGCCTGTACCCACGGTCTGAGTCACTGTACCTTCTTCCCCGACCGAACCCTCCGTCTCGGCTAGAATTGCTGTGAGGAAATGCGGAATATCTGTCTCTTACAGAGTCATAGGGCTGCCCTGATCTCCTGAATGCGTCACTCTGACCTTTGTCCTCACGAAACCTTTCCTGGTACGTCATTCGTTTCCGTTCCAGGGTCTCAATGGGCCTGCTGTGGCCATAGTCAATCTTTTCTGTGGGGCATGCCTGAAATTCTGTAAAACGGCCGGCTACCCCTTGTGATCGTGGCGGGTAGTGTGGTTTTTCCCACATCTCCTTCGCAGACTGACCCAAGACAGGAATGCTCCTTTCCCTTGCTTCAGCTGAGCCCAGCACAGGTATGGGCGATGTGGGTTGCGGAGGCTCTGCAGGTTGCTTCTGTTCAGAAGTAACGGGTTCCACAGGAGAGACTGGTGGAGGTGTCTTTTGCTCAGTATGAACAGATGCTGGGGCATCCACAGCAGGCTCTCCGGGAGTATCGCCAGGTTGCAACTCGCGAGGTGTGGGCATTGGGTGTCCTGTGCTCGTCTGGCTTAATGAGCTCACAGCACGCTTGGCATTTGGGGGTGGGGGGCCAGGCGGAGGGGGTGGTACACGAACTGACATTCTAGGGACCGCATTTCTGGTGGTGGGTGAGGGAGAAGACACAGGGGTTGAAGGTCCAGTCAAGGGTGCTGGATTACGTTGGTGAGGTGGGACTTCACCAGGAAACTGGGGCGGCCTAACAGGAGTCAGCTGTGGAACTGGGGGTGGGGGAGGTTGACCACCTTGGGGATGGAGAGGGGGTGCATTTGAATTTGGTGGCAAATTCAAGTGCAAGTGGCCCTCTTCCAAACTAAAATTTGGAGGAGGGCCACTTGGGGGCAGAGCAGGACCGCTTGGGGGTAGACTGCTCAGCAGTGGGCCACTTGGCAGTGGACCACTCATAGGGGGTCCACTTGGTGGAAGATGCGGATCGCCGGTGGACGAAGATTGAGTACTTGGGGGTGGGGGTTGACTAACTGGGGCTGGAGCAGGTGGGGGACCACTAGGGGGTGGGGGTGGACCGCTTGGGGGAGGGGGCAGACCACTGGGGGGAGGGGGCGGACCACTCGGGGGAGGGGGCAAACTACTTAGGGGAGGGGGTGGACCGCTGGGAGTTGGGGGGCCTGCAGGTGGCACTGGCCTTGCTGGTTCTTTCTCAAAGTGCTCTTCTGGAGGCGGTGGTGGTATACTTTCACTGCTGACTCCTGGCTCTTCGGGTGGCAACGGTGGTGGTGGTGGAGGTTCCAAAATAATAGACTGGAAATTAGGAGGCTGTGGTTGGGATTGAAGACCAGGGACAACATTTGATGTGATGGGAGGACTGAATACTGCCTGCCCTTTGGTCCTGTGGTGCATCATTCGAGCCATGAGAGAATTTGATTGGCCTGCACCAGCATCGTCAACTGATGTGACGTGGCTGGGAACATCTCTACTTGACGTGGCTGGGAGCATCTCTAATGATTCTGATGAAACTGCAGTGCTTCCAACAGCTAACGAGACAGCAGGTGTGATGGGGCCTGGAGTGTTCATCATCTGACACAGGGGTACTTTGCTAGGTTTCTGATAAACAGACGGACCGAAAGGTGTGCTTTTGCCAACGGGGGAGGGAGTGGAGACAGGAGTTGCAGGAGGGGGTTTGGATTCACTTTGAAAACTGCTGACGAGCGCACCGATGGAAAATGGCATTGAAGTCCGGCTGCCAGTGCCGGCATGGTTCTGCTTCGAGTTGGGCGCAGTTGCACCATGAAGTTCTTTTGAAACTGCTGTCACTGAGCCTGCCAGGGTGGAAGGGGCTAGTGTATTTTTCAACTGACCCTGAACTGTCCCAGGAACAGCATTTGTGGCTGCTGCTGTGGATGTCGGCTGGTGGACAGAATTCGGTGCTTCTTTAAAACTGCTGACAAGAGCACTGATAGTGAATGGCACATCAGCCTGACCTGACGGACTGGCATTGTGTTGCTTCATAGATTGTTGGTTTGCATTAGTTCTTTCTGGCGCTCCCGGAGGTTTCTGGGACTCTGGAGAGGCTGCCCCATCGGCTGACTCACCACCCTGGGCATCATTTGAGAAAGGTTCCGACTTCTCCTTCTGAGCAGCACTTTGTACAGTTTGAGTCAATAAGCTCAGGCTGCTGAGGAATGAAGAGGATGGGGCTTTGCTACTGGGGGACTGTCGGGAGCTGGTGATGATCTTGGTCAAGAACTCGATGGGGTTGCTCGTGGCTGCCTTCAGCACTGGGCTGTCTTCTTGGGTGGGTGGGGTGCTGCATTCATCTCGAAGGGGAGTCCCGCCAGGCTTATTGCTGTTGGTCGATTTCGTGCTAGATTTGCTCTGGGCTGAAGGGAGACTTGTGTTCTTGCCAGAGGGGACGCTCGTGGTCTTGCTACCTCCATAGCTGACTGAATCAACTTCCTTTTGAACTTCAGGCTTTGTTGTGGGTGAATGGAATCCCCCAGCCAGAGGGATGATGCATGATGCCTGCGGCTTCTTCTTCTCCAGGGGCATTTCCAAGAGGTAGTCGACCATCTCTGGATCGTACATATCATCATCTGGCGGAGACAGTGGTTCCTCAGATGGTGCCACAGGAGGGGCAGGGAGGTTGTTCACAGGGGTGTAAAACTGCCGCTGTGGTTTAGGAGCCGCTGCAGGGTACTCGCTTGCAAACGGGTCGTACTCATCTGTCTCTGGGCCTGGGGGCGGCACGGGTGCTGGCACAGCAGGGGGTACAGTTATGATCGGGCTCACCTGCTGGTCGAATGCCTTTGGAGAGGGGGTGTAGGAGGGGATAGACACAGGGGGTATGCTGGAGGAGCTCTTGGACTCCGACCTCTTGGGCGAATCAAAGAGGTTCACCGAGGATGGCAGCTTGGGGGTCTCGTGCATGACCTGCAGGAGGCGATCTTTGATCTGGCCGTAGTTCTCATCTCCTTCCTCCTTCTTGGCAGTTGCGGTGGTGGAGTTGAGGGTGGAACTCGGAGCCACGCCTGCCGTCGGTATCGGCGGATAGTCTTCAGTAGGAGAGTAGTCAGCAGACGGGGACTCGCTCGAGAATGGCGAGTAACTTGGGAGAGGCTGGTTAAAAGCGCTACGGGATCCCGCACCTGAAATGGAAAAATGAAAACATGAAAAGTTAGTTAACAGTCTAAAACAAGAAACTTCCCCTGATTGTAATTTCAGGAATATTTTTCCAGAATTTATGAAAAACATTCAAAACTTATTCTTCATCGCAAATAATCAGCATAAATTTTCGAATAACAGTACAGCTAGTAATGCTGGCACGAGAAACAAATGTGAAATTCAATTTAAATTTACTCTCATAAAGTACAGTAATACGGCCTGAGAACCCCACGGTGATAGAGCCAGTCCCTCTGTATGGTACCCTTCCAAAGGTGGAACTTTCAAGGTGCTTTTGCGTGATCATTTGACAGTTATTCAAATTTAAGACTGGTGCTGGGTTCTCACCCTCCAAGGTTTTGTACATTTAGAAAAAAGAAATAGTAATCTTAGTTCCCTTTTACTCTTAAAATGGCTTTCCTATGCAGGGATAATCTACCTGTGATTGTGCTGATGTGACTGATGCTGGCTGAAGACGAAGTTGTGGCCTGCAACTTGCTGCGGAGCGCTGCGATGCGAGACACCCGGCGCGTGGCCACAGGTGGTGCGGCTGCACGTGGAAAGCAACAAAAACCGGCTTCTTCTAAGTCTGGCTACTCAATCACCTACCCTTGCATAAACTACGCACTTACGAAGCAGAATATTACTTGGTCAAGTGGTGGGTACTTTAGATCTTTGTACCTGGGCAGAATTTTTTGGCCAGTTGTCTGGGTGTGCCAAGCTCCACCTCATGGAGGGTACTGAAGGATGGTGCAATATCTGATTGAGGGAGACTCCTCATGGAGCAGAATGTAGGATACCAGTTTCATATCAGACATTTCGCTTGGCAATCTTGAGTGTGGATATCTCAAGGATATGGAGGCGAAATATGGGTGACAAATATGAGACTGGAAGGACGTGAGGGTAATTCCTGTGTTGTTTTGTATTAATTTGGTCACATCAAGGTCCTCACCAATGATAGTGCCCCGTTTCCGATCTTCCTCTTCATCCGATAGCTCCATGTCCTCAACTTCAATGCTGTCGGCGTTGGGATCTCTAGGAGGAGTGGCTCCTATGGGTGGGGGCAACAATATAGTCTAAGTGGGATGTGATTATAACGTACACCTTGCTGGCCCTTAATACTGGCCAGCTAAAACATCTGAATGGGATTCACTCAAAACAGGACAGCAACTGTAAAGTCTATTGTACAAAAACTACTCAGTCTCCTCAATCTGATAAGGGTTACGCAAACTTAGACTGTTCCTGAGGACAATACTCAGCAAATGTTACCCAAATATGGGTGCAAGGCGCTGCCGCATTATGAAAATGTAACAAGTACGTATAAAAGCATGATCAGCCGAAACCCCACGCCACTGCTCTTCTATTTACACCCATAAGGCTTGTGCTGTTTCCTGAGGCTGAATTTCTTCAGAGAATGAGGCTCCTGGTTATCATTCTGTGAGTTTCTCAGGGTGCAAAGGCATACACCAGTGCCCTGTATGTTCGTGTACAATTCTGCCCTTTGCTGGCCATTCCAGACACGCATGTACGACAACTGCTGATTAAGGGAGACGCATGTTTTTATTACAAATTTATTGCTGGCATAATATTGTAAAGAAGTATAACACCGAAGCGAGGCGAGGGCGCTGTGCACCTGAATTAAGAAAGGGAATCTGGATGGGATTGGACTTACCAGGTGAAGGAGCGTCCATGGTGGGAGAGGGAATGGGGCTGAAGGAGTCGGGTAACAAAGCCTTGTGCTCCTCTAGTCGCTTCTTGAGGCTTGCCACTCGCATGCCAAAATTCTTGTATGCCTGCAAGTTGTAAATGTGAGCATGTGAACCGGTAAGCCCCTTGGTGATGTATTTTACTGTGGGACAACATTTGACAGACAGTGGAGGACTGTGTTTTAGGAGCCTTGACTAGGGAATGACTGGAGGTAATCTGTACTTTACACAGCTTTCACCGCTCACTGCTCATACAGTAAACTGCCTGGGAGTACTTGACCAGGCATACGCCCACCTTCTTTCAGAATTACACAATCTTTCAGTTGAGGCTTATCCCTATCAAGAATGTGCAGATCTCTGAAGAAATCTGCGAAGTTGGGACACACACCGCCATCAATTTTAAATGACGCCGACATTTTGGTAATAATAAATAAGGGAAAACCTTCTGCCAGTAACTCCAAGGTCAAAATGAGGCAGAGGTTATCCTGAAGGACACCCTGACTTACATTTGCGACTATTTTAGCCTCCCCAAACTGGGCTTCATAGAAGATTTCGCTCTTCTGAAGCAGATCAAACAGTTTCCTCCTCAGCTCTACCTCCTTAGTGAGTGAGTTCACATAGTCCTCAAGCTTGATGGCTGAATCCTCAAACTGCTGGGAGAAACGCTTCCCTCCAGCTCGATCTGCCAACAGATGAAAAGAAAGGAACTTGGAGTTTTCAGTTTTGAATAATGGCAAGTCTTTATGGGCTGTTCTGGAGACCTGCTGCACGTGGAGCCGTAGAACACATTTGCATGGCAGAGTGAAAGTTGATTTAGCCAAAGCAAGGGTAAATTTCCCGGGGCTGTTGAGCACAGATATCGATAGCAGAAATGAAGTTATTCCAATCCATACATAAAGAAGTTGCAAAACTGATATCTTACCAAATGCCTTACGATAAGCACTGCATGTACTGGTAACTGCGGAGGTCTCAAGATAAAAACGTTCAGGTTCTACTCTTGGGATATTCCACGCTCTGTCTCATGACTTTATTTATGAACTAAGGCCCTGCTCCAGGCTGAGGACTCCAAACATTAAACACCAGTACTTCAGAGAGCCAAGGAGGACCGTTTGTCCAGCACAGGAGTGCGACAGTGCAGCATACATTCTCAGCCTTATGCTCAGAAGGTCAACTCAACCTCTCCACTGTATGTCGGCTAGAAATCTTGCTAGACACATCAGTCTGCATCGCTTGTCAAAGTGGCCTGCCCGCCCAGTGCAACAAGGTCAGAGAAGGGCTAGTTCGGGTGACAACTATAGTTAACTATAGTTCAACTAACAAACGACTATTTAGTCAACCGATTGCGACCAGGCCCCAGGACATGGTCACACCAGTGGTTATCAATAACCAATCAATTTATCATTAAGGAGGGAACCATTTACATGAGGATAACTGTACGAGCTTTCAATGACCAAGTATGCTGCGAGAATTGCAAACAATGGTGAAATGTGAGTGACGATGAGATTCTAAAAATAGGCTGACTAATGTCATTTGGGAGTGACTGAATTGCCCATGCGCATTGTCAAAGGGCAACAGACTACTGGTCGAACTATAGTTTTTGCCCGAACTTGCCGGAAGTCAACAATTCCCATGGCCAAACAGCCTGGGATTGTGTGTTTGCCAGCTGCCACAAGATCCAACAGTGGTCTTGTTCAAGTTGACCAGCTTCCATTGTCTCAACATAGGCAGTTTCTTTTGGCTGTTGTTGATTGCCACGTGCAACAGACATTTACACCTGCTGCACTATGCGGTGTCTGGCAGGGTTACGGTTAAAACCTCTCCATACAGGAGGAACACTCCTGAATGTGACAGCACGGCAGCAACTGCGCTCAAAATTCAAATTATCTTTCAGCAGTGACGGCGTACAGCGTACCATTCTTCATTTCTACGGGCAAATATTGACACGCAGGATAGAGAGGAAAGAAGTCTGTCAGGAGGCTGAGTACTTTTCAAAGGACTGGCGAGAATGCCTTACCTTTCAGCTGCATGATGGTTTCTGTGCTCGCGACATCCACATTGAGCATGTTCAGCTGTCTGTATTTCAGTTCTACCTCCCCCTCAAACCTGGCCAGCTGCTCAATCACCTGTGGCACTTCTTCGTGCTGGGGATGATATAAGATTGCAAATCAGTGGGTACGTAACAGTGTTTTCTGACTGATTGGTCTTTAAGTATTGTTGCATAAGCCGAGATTTCTGACTAGGAAAGGAAAACTGTTAATTCTTATGACTTCCATTTTAAAAGTCTTTAATGCGGACCACTGGCTATGATCAAGATTTCTGCTGTGTCAAATTAACTGCAATTTGATAATATTACCTGACTTGGACAATCTAAAACTGCACCGGATACTCACGTTGAAATCAACAAGCAGCTTTGTGTCCGGTCTTGGCTTGGCCTTGGCTGGCTTCTGGGAAACTACAGAGAAAAATCGGGGCAACAGTCTTTGAGAACACCAAAGCTGGTCACTTGATTTTTGACTGAGGGGACAACCTTGACCACGGAAAGGAATCATTATTCCATCTATTCATGCCGATTGCAAAAATTGCAGAAACGCAAATGGTCATTTTCAGTCTCTGTTTCAAGCTCTTAAGTCTAAGAAAGTGGAGCAAACGAAACACTCATGGGACCCGGCCATACCTGTTGCCTTCTGCAGCTTGTCACAAAAGTCCACCGAGTAGATGCTCCTCTCCCCCCAGATCTTGAAGATTCGCAACACTTTCTCTCGGATGGCGTCCTCTCTGAGTTTGAAGAGTCAAGTTCACAGCCATTCAGAGACAAAACCAAAGACACAAACCCAAATTTTCAATGGTGAAAGGATGTGCTTCTCTCATCTCAAAGCAATGATGTAAATGTTCAAGGTACTACTTAGAAATTGGATACAATTTGGTAAAAGTTGACGCTTGAGTGGGTTGTTTACATGTGAATGCATATTCCATTTGGCCAAAGGAGGGACTTCCCATTTAAAATTAGTTACTAGAAAACATGTATTATTTGATTCAATCCTCACATTGACTATACGCAGCACAGCGCAAACAGTATGCCTACTTGGAAACCTGCAACCATGGCCGTTGCCTTGTTTTTTTTTTAGGGGGGTTAAGTATTTTTCAGCTGCAAACTCGTAAACCTATAACAGTGGAGGTAGGGTCATTTGAAAGGTATTTTCCAGCAAATGTGGTGATTTTCCTTCCCTTCACGCAATTCTTTTTCTTTCTTTTTCCTGCTTCATTTTTCAATTTTTTTTCCCAGACAGGGGAGGGTAAGGAGGTTAAGCATTCCCCTTGGACCTCCCCCTTATGACAGCCATGCCGGTGTTCAGGCAATTACCTATTTCTCCATACCCAGTGTTGTACAGGGGAGACGACTTACCTGGAGAATGTGGCAGCCTCTTCCAGGACCTCGGCAAAGCTGTCCAGGAACACCGTAGCCCCTTTCCGCTTGCTGTTTTGTATGATGTCATTGGCCAAGTAGAAGAGGACCAGACGCATGGGAGCCTTGGCTGTAGAGAAAGAGAAAACAGAATTGCCCACCATTATACACACAGTGCATGCACGCCCTGTATATGCATGCATGCCATACATTTGGGTGGCGTGACGCGGTGTTCCAGTCGAATGTGAGCAATCATGGAACGATGTGTATGTCGCTTTCCATGCCCCTTTCATGTACCTCACTGAACAGGGGCAGTCGATATGAACGTGTAAGGCACTACAGCCAATAGGAAAAAAGGGCACTGCCATCTTGGCCGTGAAACATGCTCACTATTCGGAAGCATCACGACCAAATGGGAGGGCACTGACAGCCTTGGCCGTTGTAAAATTTGAGGCCTGCGTCAGACTGGAAATAAAAAAAGTATTCAGACCGGGCTGTACAAGCTCGATACACGCCCTTCGCCGTCTTTTTTTCCACGGCTTAACCACTT